ACATGATCAAGAACCCCACTGATCCAAGGGTGAGGAGAGACTCTGAACAGAACTGTCACCAACCTGCAGCTTTGAGCCCAGTCTAGCCCTGCCTGGATCAGTTGCCTGCAGCTGACCTGCAGCTGTGTGGGCAGTGGTAGATAATCCCACCGAGGTTTGGGGTTATTTGTTACACAGCATTTTTGTGGCAATAGGTTACTATGTAGAAGTATCCTTTTGAAAATTGATTATGCCTACTTTCTTGTCATTCACCTTTCTCCTAAATATAGGGCACCACAGCACTTGTAGAAAATTGAGGATCTCCATTTATCAAAGCTTTGCCATAGCGTGATGCCATTTCTGACTAAAAATGTACAAGCCTTGTGGGAAGAGAAAAATGTTGACATGCATATTCCAATTCCCCGGAAAAAAGTTAGGGGAAGGGAGGAAGCCACTTTTACTCAGATTTTTGGTTTTTCATTTTCATTTGCCATCCACATATCAGCTGTAAAAGAGAGATGACAAAGAAGAATGGTGAAGTGAGAGTCTGAAGCCAGGGAAGGAACATGGGTGGGTAAGAGCAGGAGGGGAGAGAGGAAGGCTGGAAAAAAGTCTAGACAGAAAGGGAAAGGGGCAGATTTCCCACTGGAAAATACAAGGAGTTGGGGATGAAGAGGATAACAGAGAAGGTGGCCTTCCTTATTGCAGAATGCTAACAGACATACTTATTTGTTTTAACAAACAAATGGTGTGCTATAGCATAACAACTAAATTTCTGAACTGTGTTTCATAGCGTACGTAGCTGATTTCAGGTACTTCTGTATTTCATGCCATAGTACACTGGAGACAGTTACAACTCCCCCCACCCAGCCCCACCCAGCCTTTGGGACATCATGTTGGAATTTGGTAGGTTACAACATAGGCAATATGGGCCCCCACTCTCTGCTTCCCCACCGCCGACACTGTTGATATTGGGAAGTGGCATCTGGAACGAAAGGTAGTAAGAACAGGAATAGGGAAAGAGGAGAAAAAAAGAGCCAGAGTGGTCACCAAGAGATGGTCACCCATTCTGCTCCAGCAGACACTTTGCACTCCTGGTTGACAGCCCAGGCCCAGCCCAGAACCAATGGTTGGCTGGCCTCTGTTCTGCAGCCTGAGGACAGGAGTGGGGCATGGGTTTGCAGGGCTGGAAAGTGGGCAGATGACGTGACCACCATTTTCTCTACCACATCTAAATGTATTTATGGGATCTGGGTTTGTGCAGTCATGCCTCTGTCCTTTTCCTCATTCCCATATTTCTTTCAAGAAGTCTCCCAGTTCTCAAGATGGAACCATAGGTATAACTGCACCTATACCGGAATCACGGCAGGTCAGCTTCCCCTCGGAGATGGCCCACTGGGGCCTCCAGAACACCGTTCTCCCAAGTTATTTCGCCCAAAGACATCACTTTCATTCACTTAATTTCCAGTGTGTTCTCCTGAGTGGAGGAGTAAAGGGGAGGTACACAGGTCAAGGCTGAGTGTTGTGCACACACCTAAGCACACCCATGGGGAGTCACCAAGCAAGTAAATCTAATGTGAAGAAAGAAAGATTGAGAACCATATTTCGAATGCATCTTCTGCCATAAGGCATACTATGTCCAAGCTTTCCCATATAGTATTATGTACCCCATTTTGAAAGCTTTGGGGAGAACAAGGGCCCAAACACTCCTTAATAGCACAAGCCTCTGAATCTTTCCTTTCGTGTAGACATATTCCCTCAAACATGTTTTCAGGTAGGCTCTACCTCCCAGCCCTCGCGGAAGTAAGTGGCTTATTGGAACACTCCTGCTGCCCTCTGCCTTCAGTTCCTCTGCTATTAGGGATGCTGGCTGTTGAATTTTGGTTTTGCCACTTTCTAGAATTTCTAACTTTAGGAAAGATGCTTTGCCTCTCTTCCTCCATTTCCTCACCTATAAAATGTGGCAAGTAATAGGATGTCTTTCATAGTGTGGTTGCAAAGATCAAATAGTAAAGTAAATTAAGTACCTAGAACAATACCTAAAATAGTCAGTGTTCTATAAATATTAGCCAACAATAGTCAAATTATGGAAAAAACCCAAGTGTCCATCGACTGACAAATGGATAAAGAAGATGTGATATATATATATACACATACATACATACATACATACACACAATGGAATACTACTCAGCGATGAAAAAGAATGAAATCTTGCCATTTGCAACAACATGGTTTGAATTGGTGGCTATTATGCTAAGCTAAGTAACTCAGTCAAAGAAAGACAGATATAAAATTTCACTTGTATGTGGAATTTGAGAAACACAACAGATGAATACAGGGGAAGGGAAGGAAAAATGAGATAAAAACACAGAGCGAGGCAAACCATCAGAGACTCTTAAATAGAGGGAACAAACTGAGGGGTGCTGAAGGGGAGGTGGATGGGGGGTGGGTTAAATGGGTGATGGGCATTAGGGAGGCCACTTTTCGGGATGCGCACTGGGTGTCATATGTAAGAGATGAGTCACTGGGTTCCACACCTGAAGCCATGACAACACTGTATGTTAACTAACTTGACTTTAAATAAAACATTTTATATTTAAATTAAAAAAATAGGGGTGCCTGGGTGGCTCAGTCGGTTGAGCGTCCGACTTCGGCTCAGGTCACGATCTCACAGTCCAGAGTTCAGTCCCACGCCAGGTTTCCCCGTCAGGCATAAACCTTTGACAGTTGAGCCTGGGAGCCTGGAGCTTCGATTCTGTGTCTCCCTCTCTGTCTGCCCCTCCCCTTCTCATGCTCTGTCTCTGTCTCAAAAATAAATAAAAATAACATTAAATTTTTTTTTAAAAGTTAAAAAAATAGGGGCGCCTGGGTGGCGCAGTCGGTTGAGTGTCCGACTTCAACCAGGTCACGATCTGCTGGTCCGTGATTCAGCGCCCCTGCCAGGCTCTGGCTGATGGCTCAGAGCCTGGAGCCTGTTTCGATTCTGTCTCCTCTCTGCCCCTCCCTCACCCCCCCCGTTTCATGCGTCTGCTCTGTCTGTCTCTGTCCCAAAAATAAATAAACGTTGAAAAAAAAAATTAAAAAAAAAAAATTAAAAAAATAAATATTAGCCATTTGTAGCTGATTTTGCCAACAAAACAAATCTAATAATAGTAATAATAATAACAACAGTAATAATGACCATTGTTTGAGGATTTATCATACCTTAGGCAGTATTCTACATGTATTTGCCTATATCAAGTTGGTGATTAAGGTTCAGGAGCCAAACTGTATGGTTAGATAAGGGGATTGGACAAGATCAGATAAGCAGAATCTATGTGCTAAATTCCTCAGGAAAAGGAATTTACAAACCAGATGGAAAGGAAAAAATGACTTATTGTTGGTGGAATTTAGGCATCAGCTACAATGTAAGACAAGGGGTGTGGTGCAGAGAAATGACATTTATGCCTGGACATTTCCAGTACCCTTCAAATAACACCTCATATAGCTGGCCACGGAAGAATCTTTTTTCAGCCAAGTGCAAGATGAGCTTACTGGGGCTATATTTTCAGGTGTTTGGGGGCCAATACAGGGATAGTATGCAATGAGCCTCCCTTTTGTACCAGGGCACATATGTTGCTCTTAGTCTCCTGGCCCAGAAAGCGTATCTGCTTCTATAACATCAGCCCCTGAGACCAGAAGTGGCACCAATGAAAAACCAAATAATAAACAGGTGGAGAAAAGTAATAACTTGAGCTTTGCCTGGACTGGATTCAATTTCTGCCTGCAGCATTTCAGTTTCAACTCACTAAACCTTGGTCAGAGTCTTGGGAGAACAAGACAGTACAGTTCTGAAAAGCAATCAAAAAGTGACTGCCAAGTTATTGGGAGGTTCCATGGTGCGTTCTTAAACCGGTGCTAATCTAATAAATGTACGGGCAATGAACTGCGAAATTGAGAACATGATTGTCCACGTTCCCTAAGCCAAAGGAATAAAACGGTCATTTTCCCCTTTATTTCATATGAAAAAGGAATCGCTAATAATATGTTATTTTGCACCTTTGTATAAAACACGGAAGTCTGTACGTCTAATGGCATTTGTTGGCAGGGAGAAAACACTTAGAGAATTATGATGCTGGGTTTGCCGACCCCACCTTCAAACAAAAGGCAAGAAGGAGCACTGACTTCTGAGCCAGAAGGCCTGGATTAGGAGCCCAAACTCTGCCATTTAGCACTTCGTGAAGTGAGTATTAATTCCTATTTTACATCATTGTGTGAGCTTTAAATGAGATAATGTTTGTGGAAAGCACTGTTTGAAGTGTATGAATGAATGAGTGAGTATAAGGCAGGAAATAGGGAGAGCAAATATTTTCATTTCAGTTTGGGGAATTACTAGATTTTTTTTTTTTCACTTTAATCGCAGTTTAAAAAAAAAACCCACAAATTTTGTGGGTACAACTTTCACAACATAGCAAAAGCAGTAGAACCATTGAGGACTGGCAATGACACTCTAAGATCTTAGGGTTACTTTCTGGGACATCAATTCAAATCAACCAGTGTTTGCTCAGAACATCAGCTGAGTTGTGGAACCGAGCTGGTTGCTGTAGAAAATACAACAGTGATTAGGATTCAGTGACTGCTTCTGATGTGATTACGAACTAATGGGAATCAGATGGGATAAAATAAGTGCGTTTTAGGCAAGATGAAAAATTATAAATGCAAAAGATGTTCAAAAAGCGGTAGCTAATTGCAAATAGTTACCTCTCGCTGGGTGATCAAAGATAAGACTTCATGAAGGAGAACGCATTAGGGATATACTTTGAAGAATGGATAGTGTATCATTCTGGACCTAATCTGGAAAACAGATACCAAGCCAAACATTTCTAACATAGAGGATTTAATTCAGGAATCAGTTACAAAAATACTGAATGAGCCAAGAAAGCAAAAACGGGAAGGCCAGGCAAACCAGAGATTTATAGTTTAAGGAAGAAGTTTCCATCCCTCTGGATGTAGAAACAAAGAAGAGGGGGCCATCTTACCCACAACCAGGAGCTCATTCTCCTGCACTGCTGGGGGTGCCGCCCAGCTATCTGGGACCTGCTGTAGAGGGGCCTTTACTTGGAAGTGTCCTGGAACCATAAAGGCCCAACAGCTGAAACTGGGACATCCCCGATGGGAATCACCATGCCTGCATCTTTCAAGTAGCACTAATTTAATATGAATACCTTCCTCACCAACCCAGGAATGTTGTATTACTTTAAAGCAAAATTTTTGATAGGGCTTTTGGGGTCTTTTGGATCCTTCCAAACATGAAATATCTTACTCCACAGCTAAGGATTCTTTCATTAAAATACTGATTTTTAACTATATACCCAAGGACTGGTGAAATAACCAAGATGTGCTTGGGATCGCATTAAGCTGTATTTAAGGTGGGTTTGGACAAAACATCACTCATCAATGCATCAGCCTCCATAAGCCCCCTATTTAGTCTCTAAGAATTTGTTCTTTTGTAAAAAAATGTTTATTTCTTTTTGAGAGAGTGCATGTGGGGGGGGGGGCAGAGAGGGGGCAGAGAGAAAAGGGGACAGAGGATCTGAAGTGGGCTCTGCACTGACAGCAGTGAGCCCAGTGTGGGGCTCAAACTCACCAGCCACGAGATCATGACCTGAGCCAAAGTTGGATGCTCAACTCACTGAGCAACCCAGGCACCTCCAGTCTCTAAGAGTTTGTTAGCGTATAGTTGGTGTCGAAATAGTATGTTTCCCCAGTACCCAGTTAGTCTGGTAGGTGGTCTTCAGGTATCTTGGAAAGCCAGTTGGAGGAGCCACCGAGTGTGCTTGAGGTGTAATTGCAGAGTCTTTCCTAATGGCGCCCAATTCCTTCTTGTGCTGCCTATGGCTCCACCTATTGTCCCCTTCTGCCATGGTGGCCTAGTTCAAGTCAGACACATGGTCACAAGATCTGGAAGTTGCTTATGTAATATAATATTGGGTCAACTTCATTGCTAACTTGCAAATGAGGCATCAGAGACTGAGAGAGAAGTGTTCGATTTAGTTAATCAAAATACTTCATGTTTTTAGTCGAGTCAGGGATGTTGCCTTATCGCCAGGTTGCCAACAGGATGGACTTTTCCATGCGGTCAGTGTACTGGAATACTTGAAACAAGCATAGTATCTCGCTCACTACTCTGCCAACAGGGAGGTCATCCATTCTAAAATACTGTTGGATTCCGTCCTTCTTCATCAATAATAAAGAGACCTGAAGACTGTGTCCTGTGCTCTCCATGCATGATAATTCTTTGAGATCTGATGGGTCAAATCTGAAAGAAGTGAGATCTCCCCAGACCCAAGCCCTCTTCATGGGGAGGGGGGAGGTATTCCTTCTCACTATAACAGGTAAATCATGAATCAGCAGGGCATGCTATCACTTCAGTCTTTATAGATCTGAAGTCTCAAGTCTGTCGCTAAATTGATCGATCATTTAACACAAAAATGTGAAATCAAGAAGAAAAAAAATATATGGATTTCCCCGTGACCCAGTTAAATTGAGCTCTTCGGGTTCTCCATTTGTCACTGCTGATACTTCCCAGTAAGGTGCACATTTGGCTTTGCTGAAGTGCAGGCAGTGGTCAGGCACGGGCACCCTACATGCCTCTCTGGTGTCGATGCTCTGCCTACAGCAACGTGGCACTCCCTTCCACTGTCCTCAGGTCTGACTCCCATAGGGAGTGTTTCAATGTTGTTCCTCCCTGGCCATGTGTTCATGTTACCTAAATTTTGGCAAATCCACAGTCTCTCGCCCTGAAAGTTACTTTTACTTACACCAATCAAGTAGGACCTTGATGAATTATCCATATACTCACGGAACTTCAGAATCAGTTAACTTCTGCCAAAGATTCTTGTCAGTCAGCTCATTGCTATTACCAAATCCACTCTGCTGCCTGTTACAGTAAACAAACACCTTTGTCTCTCGTAAGTCTGGTAAGTGTAGGCACGCTTCTCCTACGGAGAGGCCGAAGGGCTCTCCAGCCCCACTGAAATCAGGGAAACCCATTTCAATCGTAGAGCCTCCCACTAGCATACTCAGTCCACATTCAATAGCCATAAAAGCACCACTCAAAGACAACATTGGGCGGGTCTCCTTCGCAATGTTATTTCCAAAGGCCTTGGTGAAGAGCATGGTAACTGGACCCTCTCCGGAAACACAGAGGATAGATGCTGATCAAACACACTAAATGTATTCCAGCTTTCCCATCTTGACATCTTTTCCTACATCATGATAAGAAACTTATCTCATCTTGATATCATTTAGTGGCTTCAGTCTATCAACCAAGCTAACAACAAGCATCGCTTCCAGATGATTGAACTAAATTCATGGGTAGGTGCTCTTTTATTGATAAGTCCAATCCTGGCTAAAATTATCCCCTTTCCTCCTTGGGCAGGCAACCCAAGAAAACACTCTTATGTTATTCCCCAGATTTTTTGCTGACAACATTAGAAAGAGGCCACATTTTTGGGGAGGGGAGATATAAGCTTTTATCTAGACTTGTCTTTATCAGTGTATCCCCGAGGGCATGGCTACTGCTGGCAAGGAAGAGACTTCAACACCTTTTGTTGTTTTTTTTAATGTCCATAACCCTGCCCATACCTCTGTTGATAGTCTCTTCATTAAGAAATCTGCAGCTGGGGCGCCTGGGTGGCGCAGTCGGTTAAGCGTCCGACTTCAGCCAGGTCACGATCTCGCGGTCCCTGAGTTCGAGCCCCGCGTCGGGCTCTGGGCTGATGGCTCAGAGCCTGGAGCCTGTTTCCGATTCTGTGTCTCCCTCTCTCTCTGCCCCTCCCCCGTTCATGCTCTGTCTCTCTCTGTCCCAAAAATAAATAAACGTTGAAAAAAAAAATTAAAAAAAAAAAGAAATCTGCAGCTAAACTCTCTGAGTGTTTCATCTGATACCACTTGAGTACTTTGAGGGATCTGTCAAAATTCAGAATTTCAAAAGTCCCTCAAAATTCAGAATTCTGAAGAGTGCTTCATGAGGGTAGGGCCTTGTGAATTGTTTAATGTTTCTTTTTCTAGAGGTTAGTCCAGCGCCCGGCAAACAGTGAGTATCCAAGCAATATTTATGATTGAGAGCCAAGAAACAAGGATTAATTAGGAAGCTACTGAGTTAGCTCTGCTGAGAAAAATCAGCCCTGCATGGAAGGAATCAATCTTATGATGTACATATTGTTTCCATTTTACAGAGGTTTAAATGAATTAAGTAAAAAAGTCCACATTCCTACATGTAATGAACAGCAGAGTTGGGATTTGAACCCATGTCTAACTGTGAAACTCATACTCGCCCATTATATCATGCCATGGGGTGGGAAGGGTGGTCCAGCAGTGAGGACCCAGTAGAAAGAGGCAAGATACAGGAGGTATCGGCAAGTGACTAGATGCAGTGGGTGGGACAGAAAAATGAGGCAAAGTTGAGGGGTTCTGGGTTCAGGGCCGGAGTTACAAGGAGAGTGGTGATACCATTAAAAGAAATGGAGAAGCCAAGGAAAGGCACTTCCAAGGACAGGTTTCTGGGGTCTGCTTCGGACTAAGCGGGGCTAATGGAGGGACAACTGGATGGAGCTCTTCTCCAGGCAGTTGGATAGAAGTAGGCATCTCACGGGGCGCCTGGGTGGCGCAGTCGGTTAAGCGTCCGACTTCAGCCAGGTCACGATCTCGCGGTCCGTGAGTTCGAGCCCCGCGTCGGGCTCTGGGCGGATGGCTCAGAGCCTGGAGCCTGTTTCCGATTCTGTGTCTCCCTCTCTCTCTGCCCCTCCCCCGTTCATACTCCGTCTCTCTCTGTCCCAAAAATAAAATAAAAACGTTGAAAAAAAAAATTAAAAAAAAAAAAAAGAAGTAGGCATCTCAGGACCAAGGCGGTGGTAAGGAAATAGATTTGCAAGTGACTCATATTGAGATGCTGATCTGAAGGTATGAACACCGAGGAGAAAAGTTACCCAAGTACAAGGGGTGAATGTATGTGGTCCAGGCATGACCTGTGGGTGGTGCTGAGTACATACAGATCCTAAAGTATGTCCTAAAAGCAGGTCTCCTTATTAACTCTTCCTATCAGCGGTTTTCTTGTGATTTTCACATTTATTTAAGTGGGGTGTGTTGGCAGGGGATGAAAAACACATAGAGGCTCTCTGACCAATGAAAGATCCACTCTTGGTGTGAGTTGGGGTCTGTCTGTGCATGACTTAGTCTTCTCAAGGAGACTTTATTTTTTTATGTTCATGTATTTATTTTGAGAGAGAGGGAGCATGCATGCACACCAGTGGAGGGAGGGGCAGAGAGAGAGAGCGGGAGGGAGAGAGAATCCCAAGCAGACTATGTGATGTCAGCGTGGAGCCCAACGCGGGGTTCAATCCCACAAACCACAGGGGATTATGACCTGAGCCAAAATCAAGAGTCAAACGGTCAACCCACTGAGCCACCCAGGTGCCCTCTAGGAAACTTTAAATAGCCAAGTGAAGAAACTCCAAATGCTGGTGATTATCTGTCTGGGGGCTGAAAACCCAACCTCCGGGAGCCATGACTCCTTGGGTCACCCACCCGTCAGCGGGGCTTTGACTGTACAATCCCCAGGCACAGCCTCCAGGATTGGGTGTCTGCGTCTGCAGGTTGGGGATCCCCTTTCCTTTCCATCCTTCCCTCCCTGCCTTCCCTGAAGATTTACTGGGCTGCACCACCTTGTCTGATGGGTCTTGGCCGGGGCTTTCTAAGAAGCCAGGTTCCCCCATGAAAAATAGTACTGAAATTCCACTTCTCAGACCAAGTTGCCCGATTACAGCCGTGTCAGACATGGCCACCTCTGTCTTTCTATCAAATCAAAAAACGACCTCAGATTTCTATCTGAACACAGATAATCCAAAACGGCTGGATTTTAAAAGAGTCTTTCTGCACGCAACATTTTTATAGTGGAAAAGTACCCTGATTAATTTAGGAGAGCATTTTACCCTAATTTAGTTATAAGTGACTGAAAATGTGCTTTTGCACCTGTTTAGGATGACATTTCATGGGCATCTACCCTACATAGCCTTTCCATGACAATAAACACGTAGACTTGTTATTTGCTAGTTGCATAATTGCGGTTTTCTTCTGCTTGTTCTCAGAAAGGTGGAGAGCTGCTGGTGTGCTCTTTGTTCCCTTTTCTTTTTTTTTCCAGGGGAAAAATGTAAAACGCATCAAACCTAGGGAAAGAAACAGTCAATATGCCATTGCTGCATGTAGGCTGCTGCACGTGTATTTATTTGCCAGTTCATTCTCTGAATTCTCCTCTGAAGCGCTTTGCGGGCTGGTTGGGCTCAGGGCACGCTAAGTGGCAATGCATGCCAATGACCGCCAGAGGGCAGTCATGCCCTCATAAACTTCAGGAAGGCAGTCCTCCATCGGCAAAATGAGAATGGCTCTTGCAATCTGTAACTCCAACCACCTCTCTCAACCACTGAATAAATAATTGCTATGATAGAAAATCACTGCATGTGCTCTGCAGTCAGACTGCCTGACTTAAATCCCAGCTCTGCCACTTACTAGCTGTGTGACCTTGGCTGAATTACCTAACCTCTCTGGGTTTGTTTCCTTCTTGTTTGTAAAATGAGGATATTAATAATATCCATCTTGTAGGCTTGTTGTGGACATCGAATGAGTTAATATTTGTCAAGTGCTAAGAACAGAACCTGGCGCATAAGCTATTATATTTGTTGTTACTAATAATATTAAATTAAACCGGTTTTATTTTCTCTTTCAGGGGCCCAACCGAACTGTCTAAGGAAAAGGGACATGATTGAGGAGAAAGGGGGGAAAGCTGTGCCCGGAATCTCCGGGTGACGGAGAAGGGGGTGTCAAACATGGCAGCACTCGGGGAGGAGAGCAGGAAAATGGCTCTAGGGAGGTTGGAAGGGGCAAAGCCTGACAGCTTTGTCTGTTTCTTCCCAAAGCTGGAATGACAGACCCAAGCTTGGGCCGCGGGAAGGCCAGCAGGCGTCTGGGACAAAAAGGGCTTGAGGCGAGCGAAGAGCTGTTTTCCCCAGCAGCGTTCAAGCAGGGCGCAATTAGCTGCAGCCTGGGGAGGTGGCTGTGGGGTGCCTGCCGCCTGGGCACCTCCCCTCACAGGCTGGGGGAAGGACAAAGGGAGGACGCCAGCTCTGAAACTGAGGCCTTGGGGTTTTCACCACCAGCATGGCAGAGGCCGAGGAGACGGGGGATGTTTCCAGCTGCCTTTAGCAAAAGCTTTAAGGTGGGGGTAAGGCGTGGGGGATTTGCAGCAGAAAGTTGGGTGCACTCTTCTGAAGGTTTCAGAGGCCTCTGGGAATGATGTGGAGGTAAGTTCTGGGCAAGCTTCTCGAGGGCCAGGGGCTCAGCCATACTTGTAAACCGGCAACCGCACCTGCCCTAGGGCTGTGTTGTGGACAAACGCTCCGGCTCCCCCTGCTGACACACAATAGGATTGCACTTCCCGGCTGTTTCGAAGTCGGTGTAACTTTCGTGGGCTAATGAAATAGAAGCAGCGCTAAGAGCCAGTGCAGACTTTGCTGCGTTCTTTTTCGCGCCTGACCCAGCGGTGTGACTTCAGTGAGCAGAGTGTCCCCTACGCCGGCCTGTGGCAGACGTGCCACACGAGTAAAAAAAAAAAAAGTCAACCTTGGTTGCTTTAGGCCATTAAATGCTGGGGCCACCGCAGCATGACCCGGCCCACCTTGGCACGGCCCTCTGTCATACACACGCGCCTTTCCCCCGCCCCACCACCTCACTGGATCCTCTGGAAAGCGCTGTGGGATAGAGCTGTTACCTCAGTTTTCCAGGTGAGGAAACTGGGTCCCAGAAAGGGCGAGTCTTCAGGATGTCAGAGCAAAGCGACAGAGCTGGCAATCCACCTCAAGCCCCAGGACTCCGCCACCCTCCCTAAGTATGACACCCGAGGACGCACAAACATGCATTGATGTAATGGAAATGGTAACACCGGCCAGCACAGCCCAATCACTGCCATCACATGGCTTTCACGAGGACGAGTCTTTTCTGGGGCGGTGAACACAGACGTACAGCATGGCTAGTTCCGTGAAGAGCAAAGGCCAGTAAGAAACAGCGCCTCAGAGAAAGGACACACATCGGAAAACACTGCCTTGGCAAGACTTACTGTGAAGCAT